CAGATTAATGTATCATGTATAAAATGTACATCAGATTAGTGTATCATGTATCAAATGTAATGTATCTTACTTAACAATTAATGTATATCACGCATCAGATTAATGTATCAGCGCTTATATTATTGTATCTCGCGCATGTATCAACACCTATATAGCTCTGATACATTAAATTTGATGCGCGAGATACAATAATATAAGCGTTGATACATTAATCTGATGCGCGAGATACAATAATATAAGCGCTGATACATTAATCTGATGCACAAAAATGAGGGATTTTGAAAATTTGTAAAACTTATAAGGGATAATGGTAATAAGTAAACTAAAAGGTGAGATTTCTGTAATTTTTCCATTTTAAAACACATATACATGATTCGAGTCAAATACATCCATATCTAATTAGTTTAATATTTAGATGGTGACATAATAATATGTTGTCACTTTATGTTAAGGGTGAATCTATCTCAGCTTACCTTCCAATCAACTTCATTTTTTTTGTCCTGACCATACTTTTCAACTCTTAAAACCCATCTCTACCTCATTTCCACATCATATTTATACACACATTTTCTTGGATAGCTTCTAGTCAAAACAGAAAATGGATGGGTACACCAAGATCAATGGAACCAACAAATCAAGATCCAACAATTTCTCAGATCTCCAATCTTTACCCCAACACCACAAAACCAATGAGAATCTTAGCCCAAATCACACTGTTTTTCATGATGTCATAGATCTTGAATCCATATCCAAAAGCCAACAAAGCAAGAACCAAGAACCCCATGATGAGAATGAGAATGAGAAAGAGAATCAAGATGCCATTGCCAATGAAGAAAATATGAAGGGCAGCAACAACAACAACATTCCTAGTGCTGTGAAATTGAGCAGGGCTTGCTCTGTTTCATCAGCAGCTTCAGCAAACAGGTTCAGACTAGAAAGACAAGGGAACAAGAATACAACTACATCATCATTTGAATCAGTGAAGAGAGCTTTCTCAATGAGAAGATCTTCATCAGTTTCTGAGAAGTATTGCAGGATTCATGATCAGGGATTCTCCATTTCGTCTCCGATATTGGATGATGTTGCTGAAGCTCACGAGGATAGTACGGAGAAGAAGAAGAAGAAGAAGAAGAAAAATGGAAGTGGCAGAATCCTAAAAGCCTGTAAGCGCCTTTTTGGAATCTGAAAATCACCATAAAATGAATCATTTCATTCTTTTTCTTTTAAAAGTAAACTTAATCCAGTACTTCTGCTTTTTTAAAGTCAAACGAGTTTTTAAGTAACTGGGGCTACACAATGAAGAACATATGGAGTATTATTATATTGTTCATTACTCCCTAGTCCCCACACCCACCACTTTGGCCTAGCTCATGAGTGGAGAGAATTCAAGATTTAAAGTCCACAATTTCAGGACGGATCTGAACTAATATATATTTATAGTTTTATTTTCTTTTGCTTATGCATATATAGTTTGTATGTGTATGTACGTACTCACGGGAGACACTCCTACTTGTATCTTGAGAATGTTTAATCTTTGGCATTTTATCTTTCTCTTTTGTGAACTTCTTCTTTTGTTAAATCTTGTGTATAATAATAAGCATAAAAAGTGGGGTCTTATAATCTTTAGAAGTTATAAGTGCAAGTTGAGTTTTGAGTCAATTTGGTATTCAACAACAACATTCCCAATGTAATCCCACAAGTGGGGTTTAGAGAGAGTAGAATGTACGCAAACTTTAACCCTACCTTTGGTTGCCATACAAGTAAGTTTAAATTTTTAGTGTTCTATTATTTTTAAATGCTTAATTCCTAATTATCTAACTGTCGAAGTTCAATTCACATGTTTGACTATGAAGAAGCGTATTGAGATCCAAATCTAGGCATAAACTAATGACTTTTTCAATTCAAAGCCTTGCCAGTAGTTATAATAGTGACATAACAATTGTCTGGGAAAGTGAGGTGAACTTCTGAGGGAACATGGGTCCAAAAAACAAAAGAAAAAGCAAATAAAAATCTAGATATTAAACAAAAAAAGGAAATGAGTTTAAAAAAAGAGTAATATCAACAAGCATGTGGACATCAGATAATGAAGACAAAAATGGAAGTACCAAGACTTCAATTGGTTTCACAAGGATCCATTATGAGGCCATAAACTATTAAGCACAAAACAATATAATAACACAATCCTTGTGTCACAACTATCAAAATCAGACACTGAGCAGGTAATGATCAAGTAGTGGAGAAGGATAACTCAACCCAAGACTCTTTTTATAAGATCACCTTTTCTACTCTTCACTCTCCAAAAATGATGGTGCACCCGCGTTTGATCCTCCAAAAAATGCACTGGATCTGACACGCACCCAATGTCAGAGTCCAAATCAACATATCATGTCAATACTGTTTGATGAATAAAAGGTTACCCCTTTGAAGTACAAGTTTCAAACCTGAATTACATTATCCCTTTGAAACATTATTATCTAATCGAGTCTTAACCCTTTTGCCATCCTAGATGTCTAATACAAATATACCAATTTTGACAAATCATTCTAAACAATATAACTATAGCAAAATAATACGATAATCGAAGTATAAGAATCAACAAATAGTAAAAGAAATCAGACGACAATCTACTGTGAACAAGCTAAAATACCATTACTATTTACAAAGGAACACAAAATCATCTCTCTCATAATCAAGATGGAATGGTAGGAAACTAGAATCAATACAACATAGATGAAATTGTTTCATACGCACACTTACAATATGAGTAGAAGAAAACGATAACTGGTGTATTTTACTTACATATTTTCTTGTGATACTCCCTCTTCTAATACCAAGCACTTAAGACCCTCCCAACTTCAAAAGAAATATAAGCATCAATGCAAGCATAACATATCTGTTTACGGCTAAGCCAACGCTGATCCCAAGCACTGGTTGTCACACTCTTGGGCTTCTCAATCTCTATTCCCGCTATTTTCTTCCCCAAATATTTGAGCCCCGAATTAAGAAGCTTCTTCTTGTTCAGTTCCTCTGCCGCCCACTCCCGGAGATCAACAACGTTCGACACTTCAAGATCATAGTCCTCCCACAGCTTGTCCACGTCACTACGAATACCAACTCCAACGAATCTGTAGTCGTCGTTGTTCAGAAAGTTTCGGAGTCGGCGGGGGATGTGGTTGGAGTGGAGAACTTGGTAGATGATGCAGGACTCTCCGACACACAGCTGGATAGTGGCGACTGGGTTTCGGTCGGCGACGGGATTGAAGTTTGGGCGCCACTCGATGTCAAGCCCTACAATCAAACGGTGGAGACGGGATCCGTTTTCGGTTTCGATTTTTTTGATCCATGAGGAGACAGTAGAAGGATCAACAGTGACGCTGGTTTCGATTTCGGTGTCGTCCTCGTCCAGAATAACATTGTAGAGTCTGTAGTTACAATTGCAGGCCAATTCGTACTCGATTAACTGCACATCCATGCCGTTCAAAGGCAAGAACCGAATCTCTCTACTATTGCTGTGAATTTTGAAGCAAGAAATAGAAGTAAATTTAGGGCAAGTGCCTTATGAAGTTCGCAAAAATCAATCAAAGATGTTAGAGTGGAGGTGCCACTACCGACATCTTATTTTGAATGAGAATGCTAAATCACTAGAAAATTTGGCTAGAATTTGGTCAGAAAATTTTAAAAATTATAAAAAAAATTTATTTAAAAATAAATCAATCTTTTTTCCATTTTTAGTTAAAAGATGGAGTATTAAAGTTAAAAGAGCAAAAATATTTTAAAATATAAAATAACATAGATAAAGTATCATTCTGGCCAAAAAAAAATTCCATTTTTTTATTATATATGGAATGAAATATTGGCCGATTAAAAGCTTTTATGTTTAGAAATTGAAAGTTTGGATAATGAGAATGTTGTTGAGGTAGATGTGTCGATATATTAAAAGAGATAAAATTTGTAATAAAAATAGAATTGGAGTGATCTTGATGAAAGATAAAATGTAGGAACTGAAACTAGGATGATTTGGACCTGTGATGATGAGATGCACGATATATAAGGGTGGGGGCTTGAAATGTTGACTATATGGTTACATGAGAGGTAGAAAAAGTATTGACAAATGTGATTAGATATGACGTGACATAATTTCATGTTATCGAGGACATAATTTTAGATAAGAAACAATGGAAGACATGAATTAGGATAGAAAATTAGTTAGGTAGTTTGAGAGTTTGTCTCGTTTTGTCTTTCATACTAGTAATCATAGTATTACTTAGTAAGTTTCTTGTTATTCTGATTCTGTTACTATTATTTAGTGGTTCTAGCACTATTATATTATTCTAGAATGGTGATTGTTCATCTTTCTTAGCATTTTGTCTTGACTTCTTTATTTTTGATCTTTTTTTTCAAATCGCTTTGTAATGGTTTTACTTGAGCTACTGTGTGTGAAATAACCTTTCTACCTAGTGAAATTTACTACAAATTATTTTTCTTAAATTTCAGTTATAAAATTATATTGAGTATATTGTTGTCGTTGTTATTCAAAGATGTAAAAATGTCATCACGGCTTGATACTATTACCCAAAAATTATGTACATGTTAAGTTGACAAACAAATACACCATACTAATCGGCATCCTAATTGGGTCCAAATAATCAACGTACCCTATTTTTCAACTTAACTTATGCTGTAATATGACATGACTTTGGATAATACATGATAGAAGGTTAATATTAGAACAGTGTTATGCTCTCTTTACTATTCGCTTTAATATGAATTAATCATGATTAACTAATACGTATACTTATTAAATTATGTAATTATAATAAAGTTATATAACTTGACGTAAATCCCAATACAAATTTATCGTATTAAAGGATATGTACACATAGTAATTTGTACATGACCATTTTGTTTTCCGTTGTTTTAATTTCATCCAATAAATCCTCCGTGTAAGTAACGTAACATAAAATATCTTATCCTCTTTGATTGATATTCCAAAATAGGTGCCATACAGTTCTCTTTAACATTATTATAAAATACCACAATGTCACTCAATGAATGTAGGGAAACACAATTAAATTATCAACCTTGAATATCCTGAATACAAGGAAACTTTTAAATCCATTTTTATCCCCCTAAAAAATCGAATCAAAATGAAAGAATCCTCAGAATAATACGAAATACCATAAAAAATACACAAATTAATAGCCTATATACCAGAAAGTCCCTTCTTTTTTTCCTGCTATTTTCACTATTGTTAGAACCAGACAATCAAATCTGTGGCAAAAAATAAATAAATTGAAAACCAATTTATACGTATTATTATTATTATTATAAACATTCAAATACCTGAATGTTCTTGTCTTTGTTATCTGAATTCTTGAAACATAATAGTAATATTCTTATTATAATTCTAATTCTTCCCTTTGTGTATATTAAATTTTTAATTTCATTTTTTGTTGTTGGGTTTTTGGCATTTGGTTTGATAATGCCAATAGAAGGTGTTTCCATGGTGGAGGAACCTGTTTTATGTGGTTCACCACTAGGGTCCAGCCCAACCTCCCCTAAGAGTAGGATTAAATTTCTGTGTAGCCAGGGAGGAAAAATTCTTCCTCAACCAACTGATGGCCACCTCAAGTATGTTGGTGGCGAGACACGTGTTATCTCTGTTCCTCGGGACATTAAACTTTCAGGTAAAAATATTCTTTATCCTTTTTAACGGTTTATATGAATATGTTACATTGATTTATGACTGTTATGCCACCACATTGCAGAACTGATGAAGAAGCTAACTCCTCAAATTGAAGGTGATATGGTTCTGAAATATCAACTAGTACACGAGGAGCTTGATGCCTTGATCTCGGTTAAAACAGATGAGGATCTACGCCACATGTTAGACGAATATGATCGTTCTGAGAGTGCAGGGATCCCCAGACTTCGTGCCTTTCTGTTCCCAGCAAAGCCTGTTGTGGTGGATCACCACACAACGCCACCAGAACCTCTAGAACAACGATACATCGATGCTATTAATGGTATAATACGTGCAAGGGAAGCAGGGATTAGGATACAACAACCTATAAGCATAAGTCAGGCCTCTTTTGGGTTTTCCTCTGCTTGTTCTTCACCAAGATCTCCTGACAGTTGCACTACTGATGGTGTTATTCATGAGTCATTGCTACAAAGTATTTTTCAAAATAGAAGTCAATTGCACAAAGTTCAGAGTTCCCCTAGCTTTTACAATGTCAGTAACCAGCAGCAACATGGGCTACATCACCAACAGCATCATCACTATTACAACCATAGACAACAATACTACAATGGTTACCAGTTAAACAAACCTCCTCATGGTCCTGGTGATCCAGTCAAAGGGCCAGACAGGTTGTTTTCTGTTAGGTCTGTTGGTCGAACTGAAGGGTTAAGGTATCAAATGGATCATAATCAACATTACTATCAATCACCCTCGAGGCACAGCCGTGGTGGTGGCTGTTGTATAAAATGTATGCATTTTGATGACTATGAAAGGAGAAATGGAAGTATATCACCGAGCAGTTACTCTATGGAAATAGGAAATGGTTGTGCTTCTCCAGGAGGTTATTCTGTGGAAAGAAGAACCAGTAGTCTTTCTCCCAGTCCCATTCCACTAAGCCCTCGCTTCTCCAATATGGCTGATACTTAAAAACACTGCAATTTCCACATATGTTTGGCAAGAGTTCACAGCACACACAGCCCCACCCTATTTGGTACAAGTTATTGTACAGTAAATAATTATTTATTTTTATCATATAAGAAGGGATGTACATTCGTCTTTTGCATTTTACCATGGACTTTGTATAATAAATACTGAAATTCTGATGGGTTCCTCAGGAACATCATTTTGTACTTGCAAGGCAGGAGTTCTTCTGTTAGGATTTGTCCATTAATGATAGCATCAGGATCAGGTATGAGATTGAAAAGATAAATAGAAATGTCTCAATATCAGTACTGAGAATTAGATTCAAATTCATTCACTCCAATAATAGCAAGTAATCCAAAAACACAAGGAGCTATAGGGAAGGATTCACAAGATCCCCCTACCCATAGAATTGTGGAACAGTAGGGTGAGAGAACCAGAAAGAGCAGTTTCTCTAACCTTCGGGTTTGAACCGCTAACATTTTTCTAAAAATATTCATGGGTAGACGCCGTTTCATTTTGCAATCAAGAGTAACCCCACCTACCTCAACATTTCTAACCTCTAGTTCCCTGTATGGATTATCTTTTTCGCGTACCCCATTCCACCAGAAATTGTCCCCCAAAATCGTAATTGTGCACAAAGTTAAATCCCTTATACACAACCTAAGCAAGAGTATAAAAGCTGAAAATTAAATATAGCCTCAAAATTGCTCCTCTATGTTCACTTGCTGTCGGTGAAATCAGCATCAATTACGTCATCTCCATCAGGTCCCTTCCCAGATGATGATTCTGAAGGTCCATCAGAACTGCCAGGTGCTGGACCAGCACCTGGTGCAGCACCAGGCTGGTTGTAGAGTGACTGACCAAGCTGCATTACTTCTTGGTTAAGGGCAGCCATAGCATCCTTCATGGTCTGAGTTGAGCCTCCTGAGATTGCTTCTTTAAGCTCTCCAAGTTTAGCCTCAACCTTCTCTTTCACTGGCCCTGGTACTTTGTCTCCAAGTTCTTTCAACTGCTTCTCTGTCTGGTAGACAACAGAATCGGCCTGGTTCTTTGTGTCTATGGCGTCTCTCTTCTCCTTGTCTTCCTGGGCAAATCTTTCAGCTTCTTTAACCATTCTCTCGACCTGTTTCCATGCAACCAGAAATCCCATCACATATGAGCAGCAGGGGGAGCTAAAATGGAATGATACACAACATATTGCTCCATAGACAACCAAAGGAATTAAAAGCCAATATTAGAAGGAAAAATTTTAAAAAGGCAAATTCCAGCAACTGATAAACACGAAACAACTCGTCGCACAACTACCTAGCTAGAATTGCTAAAGGAGACACAGTCCCTAGTAGAATTGGAAGTCAAAATCATACCTCATCACCAGGCAATGTGCTGGCACCTGTAATGGTGATGTCTTGCTTCTTCCCAGTACCCTTGTCAATAGCAGTCACGGAAAGAATACCATTGGCATCAATGTCAAATTTCACTTCAATTTGAGGAACCCCTCTTGGGGCAGGAGGAATTCCATCAAGCCGGAAGCTGCCTAAAGATTTGTTGTCCCTAACAAATTCTCGCTCCCCTTGGAGGACATTAATTTCTACACTTGTCTGACCATCAGCAGCGGTAGAGAACACTTCTGATTTGGAGGTAGGCAATGTTGTATTTCTTGGAATGATCTTTGTCATCACACCACCAAGTGTTTCCAAACCAATGGACAATGGTGCGACATCTAAAAGGACAATATCGCTGACATCTCCAGCCAAAACTCCAGCCTAGAATAATGAAGAAATTGAGATGTGCACCAAAATACTAATCAAGACCAGAATACAAGAACCGGGAACAAAAAAGGTCTTACCTGCACTGCAGCACCAAGAGCAACAACTTCATCGGGATTAACTGTAACATTGGGGTCCTTTCCAGTCAATTTCTTAACAAGTTCCTGAACAGCTGGAATACGTGTAGAACCACCAACCAGGATGACCTCGTCAATATCGCTGAAGGAGAGCTTGGCATCTCTCAAGGAATTTTGAACAGGAGTTTTAAGCCTAATTGCAGAACAAGCGCAAAAAAACTGACATCAAACCCTCTTATCTTGTAAAAGCCAGGCAACTTAATCATTAAAGTTTATAAGCTATAAAAGAAAGTGTGTTATATTGCTGTTACCTGTCAAGCAGATCTGAGCATAGTTCTTCAAATTTCCCACGTGTGATAGTGGTCTCAATGTGTTTAGGACCATCAGCAGTGGCTGTAATGAATGGCAAACTACAACAGAAAATATAATTTCAAAATCAACGGACAACAAAACCCCAAAGGGCAAAGAAGTAAAATGAAGCTTGAAATCATCATACATACCTGATGTTAGTCTGGGTCAGTGATGACAGTTCCATCTTAGCTTTCTCAGCAGTCTCAGTCAGACGTTGAAGAGCTTGTTTGTCCTTTAGAAGATCAATACCTTCATCCCTCTTGAAACTTGCAGCAAGCCAATCAACAATCCTCTGCATGAGTGGAATACTTCAAAATTACTTGTAGCAGGTACTAGTGATTTAGAGGTAAATTGCTCAATCAAGCGACAAATACATTTTGTTAAGGGGACAGAAAATAAACCTTGTCAAAATCATCACCACCAAGATGGGTGTCACCAGAAGTTGACAACACCTCAAATACACCATCACCAACCTCAAGAACTGCAAGTAAAAAATTTGTTACAATTGCCACAAGGATGAGTTCACAGAGACATGGATAAAGTCAAAACATTAAGTCAAGATGTTAAAAGACATTCTATAGTGGTATGCCCTACACTACATACGAAAGATACAGCAGCAAAACCCAGCACAGAGGTCATATAATATAAAGAAACAACAGTTAAGAGTTACCAGCTATAAGCCCATTCCTAAGAACCTTTTCAACACACAGCTCAAGGTCAAAAAATACCCCTACAAACTTGTTTTTAACCTATCCCCTCTCGTATAAATTGTGGTTGAATGCACAGCATGATTGTTGGAAACTCAAAGTATGAAAATCACCAAACTGGAACAACATAGCCATGCACAAAAAGCAGGGAACAGTTTCAAGACACAACAGAGCTAATACCCAGGAGGGAACCATAGTGCAATTATTACCTGATACATCAAAAGTACCACCTCCAAGATCAAAAACCAAAATTGTTTCATTACTTTTCTTTTCAAAACCATAAGCCAAGGAGGCAGCAGTGGGTTCATTAATTATCCGAAGAACTTCTAATCCAGCAATGCGACCTGCATCCTTAGTTGCTGTCCTCTGAGAATCATTGAAGTATGCAGGAACCGTGACAACAGCCTTGGAAACCTTGTCATTCAAAAATTTGGATGCATCATCCACCAACTTCCTCAGGACCTAAACCAGAAAAGAGAATAAAATCATTTGTAAGTCAACAGAAGCATGGAAGCAAACTCATAAACAACGGCCAGCTCACTTGACAATGGAACTAAAAAATAAAAATCCAAGAAAAAAGTATCTGGCAGGATGTCTATATGCCCTCTTGTCTAATCAACTTTGCAATAGTGTCACATAACTAATGCTTTATTGGACAGCAACATCATATTGTTCACACTAACTTCAGCAAAAGGCATGTGAATTAATGAACTTCAAAATCTCAAATTGTGAAGACAGTTACACTTGCCGGTGTTTTTGACGTGGAGTAAAAGACTGTCTAAAAAAATGTACACCTCCTTCTGGCATATGGAGGAATATTTTCCTGGACTTGAAGTGAATGTTACATTAAACTGTGGACTATGTTGTCTCATAGGAAAAATAATGTTCTTTTACAATCCCCAGACTTCTACTCCATATCTCTTACTTCAATCAATACTTAGATATTACTAGGTAATCAATATTTAGATATTATTGCCAACCTTTAACACAAATTGTGTTAGAACGCTATCCTTAAACCTTTTCATACACCCTGCAATATCATCCGTTATCAACTTTTCTACCTATTCCACCCTAAATGTCCAGACTTGCTCAAGGACCACAATTTCCTAGTCAGGATAGTCAGAAACACCAACTGCAATCTCATTCTAGGCATCCAACTAATACTAGTCTAGACATGCAAGTAAAGACAAATCTTAAGCGTGTTTATGAAGCAGAATACAAGATTGCATATACCTGAGCTGAAATTTCTTCAGCAGCGAATGATTTGCCAATGGCAGGGCAATCAAGCTTGACATTTCCATTCTCATCTCTGATGACATTGTACGATACCTGCTTCGACTCCTCATCCACCTCATTCATCTTCCTTCCAATGAATCTCTTCACTGAAAAGAAGGTATTCTCCGGGTTCACCACAGCCTGACGCTTCGCAATTTGACCAACAAGCCTATCCCCACTCTTGGTGTAAGCGACCACTGAAGGAGTTGTCCTCTGTCCTTCAGCATTCGTCACTATGGTAGGCTTCCCTCCTTCCATAGCAGCGACAGCTGAATTAGTAGTCCCCAAGTCAATTCCCACCACCTTCTCCGCCACCACACGCATCGGTGCATAACCACCGTTATTCCCCCGGCTTGAACTGCTCTTCTTCTGCTTCAATCCAAAAGCTAGGGTTCTATTGTTCAGTTTTTGCCCCAAAAATACAGACTTTGAAGGTTTTCTAGTGGAAGAAGATGAATTAGCGAAATATGTAGCTCCAAGAGCGTGAATTTGAGCAGTTGAAGAGGCCATAGTTAACCCTACTGACCCTAGAAAGAGAGAAGAATTGAGAATTTGGGGATTAGAGGAAAAGGCGAGTTAGGAGGAAGAGGAGTTGAAAGAAGAGCATAGAAGAAGAGAAGATAAGGAGGAGGGTGAGGGTTAGGTGAGTACACGTGGACGGTTCTAGAATCATCTTTTGGCTGATTGAAATTAAAGCTTGTGATTGGCTCATTCATTTTGGGCCCGCTCCTCAGGCCCATTGGATCATCTGTAGCCTATATAGGCCGGCAATGACAACTTTTCTGTTAATTTACCAATACCCATTTTAGTGCCCCAAACAGTAATTCTTTTTTAAACATATGGTGGAAAATTGTCAATATACATCCTTAAAATAATAGTAATAAGTATCTTTCTTTCATATTTGAAATCCATATATTAAGGACTGTATAACTACACTCTAACAGGATATTGATTCCTTGATTTTCTCCAAATCAGTTTCTTTTATTTTTCATTGTTTTACAAATTTGAATTTTTTTTTTAATTGTTTTGTCTGTTGTAGGAGAAGATCAGGAATTGTATATCTTGCCAGTTACAAAACTCTATATTTAAGGAAATAATAATGTTAATAAATTGGTTAGGAATTATTTTAATACATTTATTATTTGCTAGGTATTGTTAGAAATCTAAAATCAACACAATATATGTAATTCTCCCTTATGTATATGCAACAGGACTTCAATGATTTATAAAATGCTTTTAATATTTTAAAGCATCCTGTTTTAATACCTATTTCGTACCTTATTGACAAAAAATATGTATTGCCAAAATGCATACAAAATTTAAAACTTCATACCAAATACATACCAAAAATAACCATAAGTGATGTATATAATATGTATGTAAATGAGCTTCAATAGTTGAATAAACAATATAAATACAACTCATTTTATGTGTACAATGAGTATAAATCTAGAATTTCAAGATACAACTAATATGAGTGCAAAATTGCAATCTTTATACCAAAATCATACCAACTTATTATTAATATTTTGTGTATATAAATTATGTATACAACACTAAGTATAAAATAGAAATAAAGGACACATCTCAAAAAGTCATACTAAATTTAAACCAATAATAATAATAAGCAATAATCGCATGCTTCAGGTCAATTTCATACAAATATGTGGGGTGATTTTTCGATTATTATATAAACACATGGTGGAAAATTGTGCATTGGAATAATAATAAGTATCTTTCTTTCTATGATTGTTGAATTTTTTTTAATTTTTAATTTGTAGTGTGTTATATAACTAAATTTTAATCATGTTCTTATTCACTATTTTACAAAATGTTACTTTATCAGTCCCAAAATAAATATCACTTTGGCAAAAAAACCATAAAATAAGTGTCATTAGAAATTCAAGATAAAATTAAATTGTTTTTTAAGTCTATATGTAAAGCTCAATTTCAAGAAACATATAATATAAAAGTAATTTAGTAAACTATACCTTCTATTTATTTTTATTTTTTTATCTAATAGACATGAAATGAGCTAAAGTGACACTTATTTTGATAAAAAAATTTAGTCTCATCATTTGACATGAACTAAATACCATTAGACATACATTGACAAGAACTTCCAAAATGTAACTTCAAAGGCAAGGAGAGAACTTACTTACGCCACTACTCTAATGTATTTTCACACAACAAATTGCTTTTGTTGAAGATATGGATAAGATACAACATACTAGGATACTCCTAATCAGAGTATTTCATTTAAACTGCAAGGGGAACAAGAAGAAAAAATAAGGATACAACAGCTTCTTCTTTTTTAGTTTAATCAGCAGCTTTCATTAGGCAATATAGAATCACCTTGTTAGAAAGTTCTACAGTCAATTCAGGACTTTCTATCTATTCCTGGACCCTTTCCTCACATCTAGTATTACGTGGTTCTCGAAAGAGCCATGCCATGCTTCAGGCTCTCCGTAAACATCATGCCAAATGAGTTCCCGAATATAGTCAATGCCAAGCTGATAACCATGTCATGCTTCCAAAAATTTTATTACGACCCCAATGAAACGGATGATTGTAGGAGCTTACCTTTAAGAATATTGTTTTTGAGGTAGTGCTCTCCAACCAATATCTCGTCTATAAAAACCTCCAGGCCAATTAATTTGTTCAACGGCTTGATAAGCTCTATCCCGAGCCTCTTCAAGATCCTTTCCTTTTGCTGTGACTCCAAGAACACGTCCTCCAGTAGCAATGAAATTTCCATCTGCATCAAAAGCAGTTCCAGCATGGAATACTTTGACAGATGGAGCAACTTGCTCTGCTTCCTCAAGCTTATGGATAATTGTTCCTTTCTGGTAGTTGCCAGGATAGCCATTACTTGCCATTACAACCACCATGGCTGATCCAGGGGACCAGTCCAAAGACATCCCATGTAGCTTCCCACGGCAAGCTGCCAGCAAAATTTCAACCAAATCAGACTCTAACCGGACCATCAATACCTGCAAAGGACAAGAAAAAGACTTCAAAACTATTTTATGGGATAGAGTAATTACACTGAGCACAATGAAATCCCACTCCTGTATCCATTACATGTTTCATCAAGTACCATGTAAAACCTACGGGAAAAAAAAGTAACCAGAAAAATTTGCCAAACTATAACTGAATAGAATAGACAGCATCAAACTTCTACTCTTTCTGTGACGAATATTGCCCTTCCTATAATTCTGCCTTTCCGAATACACAACGCAAAGGACAAACATATAGGATGAACTAACTTAATTACTGTTGCTTTAACAAAGCAAATATGCAAAACTAACTAAACACAAAGCCATCTGTAAATTCTGAATCACCTATCTCACTATACAGTAATTGATTTCCCCCGTTGTATACATACAAAAATGTTACCCACTCTTTGGGATAGTAATTGCCTAAGAAGGCTCAACCAAATGTTCACTTAAATCCCTATTCAACTACTCAAATTGCACCACAGATGCAACTAAATAGGACCAATGAGGGTCCATAGTGAGCTAATTCTATATTTTAATACTGCCTTTGAAAAACTTTATAGTTTAAGGGACTATAATAGCCTCCACACTCCGATAAAATGTGATGAAGGCATGAAGCTACACTCTAGGAGAGATGTTCTAATGTGACAATAGTAACTTGTCATCCAAGATAGAATTCCAAAACCAAAAGACTATGAGTCTGTATAACAGATCAGATATTTCTAAGTTCATAACTGAAATGAGAGCACCCGTTTATTTAGCAATAACACCTCCAATTATCCACCTTCTGGAACAAAAATGATCTTGAACCAATTTAACAATATTCTTCACTTGTAGGACATGACGGTAATAAATCTCTTTCACAAAAAAAGAAAAGAAAAAAAGAGCACATGTTACTTTGGAAAGCACCTAGCATTCTATTGCTTCTGAAAGACTAAAACCTTGTGCACATAGCAAATGCCAAATCATGTAATGGATAAAAAGCAGTATGTTTCACATAACAAATTTATCATATACCAAAGTGAAGAACCAAAGAGTCTGATGCTTTCCTAAGCGTAATTTGAAACTAGGATCAATGGTACTAACACAAATTGCAATATGAAAATAAAAAGTTTGATTGCACCTGGCAAGTCAAATCCAACTAACCTGACACTCTGGATCTCCAAAGCGTACATTGTACTCAATTAACTTTGGCAAACCAGATTTCTTCTCGATCATGAGCCCAGCATACAGAACCCCAACAAACTTGCAGCCTTCTTCGGCCATTCCCTTCACTGTAGGGAAAATTATAGACTCCATGACCATTGATTGCAGTTCCTTTGTCAAGACAGGAGCTGGAGAATATGCCCCCATCCCACCAGTATTTGGTCCTGTATCGCCATCCCCAACTCGTTTGTGGTCTTGAGCAGATTCCAGAGGTATGGCATGCTCACCATCTACTAGAGCAAAAAATGATGCTTCCTCTCCTTCCAAATATTCCTCTACAACGACTCGAGAGCCAGCAGAACCAAAAACATTGTCTACAAGCATAGAATCAACAGCCTCATATGCTTGCTCCAATGTCATGGCAACAATCACTCCTTTACCAGCAGCCAATCCATCCGCTTTAACAACAATTGGGGCACCTTCCTGTTTGATGTACTCTTTTGCAGCGGATGGGTCTGTAAATGCTTGATACTGCAGATATTCCACCGCAGATAAAGTCAAGAGATGAAGTGAACCAAAAAATTTAAAAGCCAAGCATCACAGTACGTTTTATTATAAGTAAAACAAGTAAATATAGATGAAACTAGACAGTACGCACAGACCTTTGCAGTTGGAATTCCATATTTATCACATAAGCTCTTCATGAAGTTCTTAGAACCTTCTAAAGCAGCTGCTTCTGACGAGGGGCCAAAGGTAGGAATTCTTTCCTTGACAAGGTCATTAGCAAGGCCTGCAACAAGCGGAGCCTCTGGTCCAACCACAACTAGCCCAACTCCCCATTTACGACAGAAAGCAATCACAGCTGAACTATCTAAAACATCAAGGTCTGATATGCAAGTTGCATCACCTGAGCTGGAAATTCCAGCATTACCCGGTGCACAGAAAATAGCGTCACAAGAAGGGGATCGCCTCAAAGCATGACAGAGTGCATGCTCTCTCCCTCCTCCTCCAATTACCAAGACAACCACCCTTTCCTCTATAATAACAATTAGAAAGGAATCAATAAATAATGCCAAGGAACTTGTGAATTGTATAATATCTATCACAGAGCAACAGCTACTGTATCTGTATATGCCAGATAATTATTAAAAACACCAAAAGACAAAACTTTATATTGAAAAGGACAAAAAGAAAGGGTCTGCCGGCATTACACGGCAATTCCAAGCTATTGAATAAAAAACTTAAAATTCATTCTCTACTCTAAAGGGAAGTGAAAATCAAAATCCAAGAAAAGAAGCAGGTATTAACATATCCCTTCAGTGAGAGGAAATACAATCACTTTCGAATAGGCAGAATATTTGGGATTCCAAAATTCCCAAGACATTTTTTAGCCAAACAAAGGACAAAAATTGAAGGGAAGCAAGCAAAACACCGAATTTCTCAGTTTTTCCTATTCTTACATACACATAGAAAGACAAAATTGGTGTTGTAGTTCTTACTGGGGTTGCTATTATCCACTGGAAGGCTGTTGAAAACGGCGAAAGATTTGTGTGTATCAAAACGACGGCAAGAACTCCGACGAACTCGAAGATTGAAACAACCCCAATTGCTGGAACTGTAGTTGGAACAGCGTTGTTCTTTAGCCGAGAACAGCTTTACTGAATGATTCTGGCAATTGCTTACAAACTTCAAAGCAGAAGCAGCTCCTATATTGAGTGACATACATGCCATTTTTTCCTCTTTTCCTTTACCAATTCACCTCCTTCCTTTCCCTTCTCAAAACAAAAAAAAGGTTCAAGAACAATAGCTATGCGATGATGAAGAAGATGATGAGCAACTGTAACAGTGTGTTTTAGGTTTAGTGATGTTTAACAAAAGAGACAGACTACTTACTTTATAATATTTCTATTTGGGGTTTTAGCACTAAGCCCTCTTTTGTTAAGTGACGGCGAATCAAATGGCTTTAAGCACTCTTTGAGAAAACTTAACTTAATTGTTTTTTAGAAAACGTTTGACAAGTTTTTAAATTGTTTCTTTGTCTGCTGTTTTCAATTTAGTTTCTTTTTATTCAAGACTAGATGATTTCTTCTTGAATGTTCAAATTTTCATAGATAAAATTACTTTTGGATTGGGTTATGACTTTTCTTTATTTCAATCTAAGTAATTTTTGAATGGATCAATAATCGTTTTAACTTATCTCAATTTGATCTATTCAAATTCCACCAATTTGACAAATTTAATTGCACAATTTGCCTTCAAATGAATCGGTCTTTAATTTTTAATTTTATCAATCGAACTTATGCTCACAAGTTCAATTTACTTTTAATGATGCGAGACACAACTCGTAAAATATAACGATATGAAAAATATATATTTATGCACATGAAAATATTATGCAAAATTAAATACCAACACAAAATAGGAACAAAAAGTGCAAATGCCACCTATAAATCTATGTTTTAATTTTTTTTAAAAATCAAAAAAATTAAGAATAGGGGAAGGGGATCGAATTGTGGAACTCCCACCAAACAATGAAACGAAATTGCTACCCCTAAGTCAAACTTTCTTAGGTTAGACACTAATCCCCCAATTACAAAAACAAAAAAAAAAAATTAACTTTGAATCAGAAAATAAATAAACAGAGACCATATATTATCTGTAACTTTAATATTCCCCGAGTCAAGAGGTTGCTCACTTCAATATGATCATTTGTCCATATGCTCATCGCTTTTGAACGTCTTCTTGCTTTCTTTTTGTTGAAAATCCCCCAGGCAAAACGAAGTTATGGGCATACTGTTGTCAGTTTACACCTCGGGAGAGCCACATATTCTGTTCCTATTTTTATTTCTTTGGATGAAGTAAGTGATTTCATTGATACCATAAGAAATGCAAATAGTACAAAAGTGAATCTGTTAGCTCCATTACAGGGGTTCCTATAGGGAGCTAACAAAGTCCAAAAAGGTGCCAACAGATTTAGTTTCTATAACGACAATAAGCAAGGAGTTTGAAGAAACTACAATGTGGATAAGCCAATAAAGATATTGAAGCAACTGAACTGACGATGGAAAGAGTACTTACAACTTCTCATCTCACGACTCAAGAGCAACAAGGTATATATGTCCATGCTCACGGTATAAGACCTTTGAAGCACATGACTCTTGGCCACATGAGATTAGCTCTTCAAAATGTAATACCAACAGTCAATTGAAGATGCGATTATCAAAACCAACAATAGTCCGATGTGCTGAGAACAGCTCTTCCGGTCCCAGATAAATAACATGTGCGTATGTGATCATGTTTCACTGAATAACACATGCAAGGAAATACCAAAGACACATATAGCTAGTATTGTTCTTTTTTATCTGAAAATCAACTATTAATGCCCATGAAGCAAATTGGTGCTTAAAGAAAAACTGAAATGATTATATATAGAAACCCTCAGCTTTTCTTCATCCAAACCTAAATCTCACAGTTTTCGCAAGTATACAAAATGTGCTTTGACATATATGCACAGTATTCGTACCAGCTATTGGAAAAAATTACAAGATGCTCTCTCACACGTGGAACAGCAAGTCTAACAGCATTGTGAACTTGATCTACAACCACATTTAGCAAGCACTCACAGATGAGGTGCAAACACTTTTGTCATATTGTACTTGGGGACAGTGGCAGACCACAAAATAGGCACTAGGGTCGTAAAGCCATGAATAAATTCTGCCTTCGAGCATGTTCTGGAACAAGGCGCTGGAGAGTTTCAGTAGGAATTCCAGTGAGCTCTACAAAGGTGCATACCACAATAATGAGGATACATACATCAAAAGAGCTAGAGAAAAATTTAGGGCCAACAAATTGAGAAATTGAATATTCAGACATTTGTAAGATATTGCCACAAGTGGCAAATGTTGAATGCTATATGGCTTAATCACTAGTAGCAAATATGAAATTTAAATATGAACAACAATTGAGTTGAAGAAAATAACCAGGTACCATTTTGGAGATTGAAGGTATATGAGTAGGGACTAGGGACTTCCATTTTTCATCTGTTTCTTCACACTTTTTAAATAAAACTCTAAATCTACTTGTTTGTGGTTCAATCAAGCATAGACACTGAACAGTTACATGATCAGGCAAAGATTAAAATACAACACGACTATGACACAAAAATAAATACGTTTCATATCAGTCAAAAATTGAAAAAATATACCAATAGTTAATTTTTGTCTATTATTATGAAAATGCTTTGTGTGAAATATCAATATCAAAACATATCAGTGGTGTCATATCACAATACTAATAACTAATACCATCACATACTATGAGGAGCTTGTCTAGATATTGCAAGGTTGTGGGATTATCTGCTTAGACATTCACTAGGTTCCATTACAGTCATCTATCTACAAACAAATCATCTAGTGCTTCTTCTTCTCCTATTCTAGTTTTTCCTTTGTTTTGAGATTTTCTTTGTCTAAACAACTTAAACCTTTTTTTCTGAGACTATGACTATTAACTCAGAACCTCCTTTTCTTCTTTGAGTTCATTTTTTTCTGAAATATTTTTAAGTTTAAAGATGGGTAACTCTATCAAGAGTCGGGACACTTTGTTTACAGGAGTTAGGACTAGCTTATCGGTGATAGAAGTTAAGCTATTTTTATTTTTGAATGGTTGGACATGTATGGTAGTTAACTACATTCCTTAGAAGTGTACGTGCAGTATAAGTAGGCAAAGTGATCCCAGGATCAACCTACACGGTGAATACTTGATCAAAAGCAGTAAGAACGAAGAACCATGCATGTGGTATCGAGTTATGCTTCTGTTTGTTTTTTTTTTGGATAAACAAAGTTGTGGTTAAACTTCCTTCATAATTAGAGAACATCATCATAATTAATCAACTACAGCTCAATATAAATTAGTTGAAGCCATATATGTGAATCCACGGTAACAATTCAGCCCTATTTAGGTACCCCCTCCTCTCTTTCATCTTTTTTCTTTCTCTTATGTGGTGGCAGTTGAAATCAGGATTATTCAATTCAAAGCCTCAGTCTGAAATCAGTCGTATCTAATCTAATAAATCACCCACATAATATGCTTACAATGAGGTGGTCAGTCTGGAAGGAGAGAAATGGAAGGTGTTTTGAAGACAAAATCAGATCAGTCAATGATGTGAAATGGAATTGTTTGGTGGCTTTATTTTTTTGGTGTAAACAGAACTGTATAGAGGAAATAGAGGATTAGTAGAATTTCTAGGAGCTTTGTAAAGCTAGAGTCTACTTGCTTTGTAACTTGTTTCTGATGGTGGCCAGCATTCCCAATGCTGAATAATACAACATTACTAATCCTTTAATTAAAAAAAAAAGCCATTTTTGGTGTACGTTACCTTGGGGCTTGAAATTGTAAAGTGGTGGAAGAGGGCGACCATTGGGAAGACGAGTATTAGGATCCCTCAATTCATCAAAGAATGGATGAATACAAGCCTCTAACTGCACGATCAAAGCAGAAATCAATAGGCAACTACAGCCAAACCTTAAGATGATGAGATTGAATTAATTCAGAATGAATGTAGACTTACAGCAGTGCATCTCAAATAAGGTGAATACTGGAAAAACCGACAAATCAGGTCAACTGCTTCTGGAGGCAATCGCTTCTGAAAAACCTGCAAGATGCATTGTGAGATATAGTTAGACTTGTATAAAGGAAATAACTTACGGAAGGGAAACAGACGACTGAGAAATATGAACTCTCTGTATATGATGGAAAACAATCCGGAAAAAAGAAGCACAATTTATCAGGATATATGGAATAAAAGAAGATAAATGAGAATGTTCACATTCACTGGACTAGTTGATAGCAAAAGTTTCTAGGTGCATCACACGAAACGCCAGTTTTTTTAATGAAGAAAAAAAAAAGGCTCTTCCAGGCTTGGAAGCATCTCAAACAGCCTCGAATAGAAGTATTTATATATGTAAGACATGATGAAATTAAGGCTCATTGTAAAACTCTTCTAAGAATATTTCCAATTTGGTATTCTTCTCTGTTTGTCCTCACTTAAATCTCTACTCACATTTTGTTCTGTATAATTTAGATCTTACAATGTCGTACCATCAGACACATGTGAACCAATGGGAAGAATGTTAATGTTTTTCATGGTATTTGACAGACTATGATTTTCAAGCATCATATTAGGGAGGAGCACCAATATACCACCACCCTATCAGATATTCTGGATCCAAGCGCAAGATGTTTTCTATCTTTTGCCAACAGGTTCCAATTTTTGACAGAGACTGCTCTCATTCTTAATTCCTGATTTCCAGTGTCCCATCTTTCCACACCATGGAAGAGGGTGAGTAAAAAAGTCACCCACCAGTCCTACTTTTTTCTCCAAAGCAGGCAGCAGTTCTCCACTTGCTTTTAGAAATTTCTAGATGTCATTTACTATCGTAGCCAGCAAGAGAGAGGGACTCTCTTCGAAGAATTTCATACCACCGACTCTTGCCTATAGATCGTCAGCCCAGATTCAATACAGCAATAAAATGAGGCAAATACAACCTAAAGGAAAATTAAGTTATTAGATTTATTTAGAGAGAAAATGGTCTAGAACCCCCCCAACCTATATCCGAAATCTCAACTACACACTCCAACTTTACGAATGTCCTATTACCCACCTGAACTTTATATTTATCTATTTTATACACACCTAAGTGCTGACCTCAACACATAAACCAAATAATTAGGCCTGCGTGATTCCACGCGCTGGGTCCCTCACCTCTTCAACTCCCATTTCTTGTTTTTTCCACCATTTCCCTCCTAAAACGTAAAAGAACAAAAAAAAAATCCTCTTTT